CAGGAGAAATACTTTGGCCTAAATATTGCCCTTCCCAAGCTGTGGCTGCAGAAGAGAGATACTACTCAGAAGTCTATCTTCAAAATTATCATTTTGTATTCCACACAATTAAAAAAAAATGCTTGCCTCAGCTAGGCAGAGCTTCTTTCCTCCAGAAAGAGATTTCCTGTTACCTAGGAAATAAGATGAATTTTGGCCTTCTCTTGTGCTGACAATTCTGTGATATACCTTTTAAGGTACGCCATAATCCCTTTAAAAGAAAACCTGAAGCCATGCCACATCTTACAAATGTGATTCTTGCATTTTCTTCTTTCCCTGTTTTGTAGGGAGGGCAGATGGTTAGCTCTTTAAATAAATGTAGTTTTTTCCTGAAAGCTTTTTTTTTTTTTCACATCTGGTCTTTTTCATATGAATAGGAAAGAAAAATGCAAGAAAAAAAAAAGACCATCAATATGATCTACTAAAATTGCACATGCTCGTTGTACATTGATATTTCAAAAATATTAATTCCTATTGAAAAAAGGTCTGATAAGGCCTTTCTGGTTTTACTCTTAACTATTTTCTTCCCCAGACTCTGTATTCTACGTATTGTCAGCCTTTTGTCTTTCTAGGGTTTTAAAAGCAGCTGTCACAAATGAAGACACCTACTCAGACCGTGTTACAAATGTCATCTGTATCAGACCGGAGACGGGGATGTGAAAACTGCGGCTAGATCAACAAAGACAATCTGCCTATTCTTTGATGAGGTGAAAAACATCCGAGTCTATGAAGAAACGAAGAAATAGGGAATTCCAGACCCAAATTGCAATATTGCAATATATCAACATCATTGTCGATGACCAAACATCAAGCATGGACAAACTCATATGAATATATAAGGAATAATATTTTAGAAAATTAAATGCACATAAAATTGGGAAAGAAGGAAGAAGTCTGCTACCTTCAGTTATGTTATGAGGCAAAACCTACACTGAGGACATGGAGTTCTTATCTGAAAAGTCAGTATATGGAGATTTACACTTCCCAGACAGTTGTATTTGTGAATGATCTACTACACGGCCATTAAGCAATTTTCAGCAGGTCTTGGATAAACATTGATTTATGACAATACAGAAATCCTAGAATGTTCAGCTGGCAAACGTACATATCTTGCTCTCCAGAAATACTTGTACAATAGCCAGAAAAATCCTCAGTGTAATCAAAAGAATGATGATACAGTTTAGGCTCCTGTGGCTATTTCTTAAAGAACACTTTAATATACTTCCCACTCATCTCTTTTTTTTCACTTAGGTATTCCAGATTTGCAAGAATTTTTTTTTTACTATAAACTTGAAACTCAAAATCTGTACATAAGATCTGATAAAAAGCAGACACTAGTGGTATTTTTCAGATACCACCTTAACACAGTACACAAGGACTGAAAGCCTTGCATTTATTCTCCATTCTCTAAGGACTTCAAGAACACAACGTGTTACAAGCATTTTCCTTCCTCAAAAAATGGCCCTATGTCGGATGAAAAGCCTTAAACAACACTGGGGTCAGCCAGCTGAGTGTTGATGCCATACTGGGACCCTGCCCTGTCCTGTGCATGATCTGTCTGAATCAGTTTTGACACAACTGTGTAATGGAAGGGGATGCAGAGGCACACTGAAAAGCCCAAGAGTAGGGAAGAGACTGTCACTGTTAATCTAGTTTACAGGATGTTGTACTCATTGAAGACAATGTGAACTCTACAAATAACTGCCTATGACAATTATGTAGCCTCCATTACAATTGCATTGTAATGGCAAAATGGTATGGTAAGAGCGCTCTAGCAAAACCTTAACTACACCAAATATGAAAATGCACAGACTTTTCTTACCACTGACAAACTGCAAGATGAATTATTGTAACATTATTGTAGATGGCAATTCTTCGTTTCTGCAGCTGAAGAATTTCAATAACTACTTATCTTCACATTTCTAAAACAGTATTGTGGTCTCTGGGTGCCCTGGTTTTGGCTGGGGTAAAGTTAATTTTCTTCCTAGTAGGTAGTACACTGCTGTGTTTTGGATTTAGGATGAGAATAATGTTGATCATACACTGATGTTGTAGTTGTTACTAAGCAGTGCTTGCAGAGAGTCAAAGACTTTTCAGCTTCTCATACTGCCCTGCCAGGGGAAGCTGGGGGTGCACAAGAAGCTGGGAGAGGACACAGCCAGGACAGCTGACCCAAACTGGCCAAAGGGGTATTCCATACCATATGACATCATGCCTGGCATATAAACTAGGAGGAGCTGGCTGGGGGACACCACAGCTTGGGGACTGGCTGGGCATCAGTCACCAGGTGAGCAAATGTATTGTGCATAACTTGTTTTGCATATTTTCTTCTTCTTTTCCCTTCTCCCTTTGCTGTCCTATTCAACTGTCTTTATCTTGACCCACGAATTTTACTTTTTTTTTCCCCCTAGTTCTCTCACCCATCCCACTGTGGGGCAGGGGGTGGGGGGCATGAGTGAGTAGCTGTGTGGTGCTTAAGTTCTGGCTGGGGTTAAAGCACAACACTGGCTTAGAAATTTAAATAAAAGCCCTGACGTTTTAAAAACCCAGATAATTTTATATTCAATTAGTAACTTTATTTCTTGTTAAGAAGCAAGTAAAACCTTAGGTAATGCAACAGTGACAATTGAAAACTGAAGCTTTAATCTAATATGGAGGCAGGATTTTATCAATTTAGGACCTTTTCTGTTGCTGTTCTGAGTAGGCGACAATTATCAGTCCCGCCCTTGTGAAGGTGACTACACTTAGCAGTGGGTAGAGGTGAAAGAGAAATCATTTTCTTAGTGATCAAACCCTCATCTGACACAACTGACTCAGACAAATGAATGCGCCAGTCACAGTAATTGCTACATCAGTTAATAGATGTTGGGATAAACATAAGTACAAAACCCAATTTCTACTCATACTTTCCCCATGTTTGGGGACAGGTGGGCATCTTTACTACTGACTCATTATAATCAGGTCTTTCCACACAATGTTTATGTATATCCTGGGAAAAGCAGCAATTTGCACAAAGTAAGCAGCAACTTGTACAAAGTAAGTGAACCCCAACATAATACACTTCTTGACTGTTAACTGTTGCTACAAAATAGTTCTTTTTACCTCTGCATTTCCAGTTATTTGATACCTGCACTCCACAAGAAAGATTAAAAGCACATACTAAAGATGTTCCTGAAATACTCTGCTTACCAACATACCCTGAAATTCTTGGAACAATTAAAACGCCTGCATGCAACTCACTAGACAAATATTGAACAAGTCATTATATTTCAAAATGCTATTGAAGCAGAGTGAGACAGACACAGCCAACAGGCTGGATCATGACAGGAACATAAGAAACCTGTCAGAGCCAGCACCTTTTGGGAGAAGGAGGGCAGATCAGCCAGCACTTTATCAGTCCCCACACAAAAGGAAAGGAAGAGTACACAGAAAGCAAAATAGAAAATGTCACGCCTTCTGGGGAGTAGGTCTTCAAAGTCTGCAATAATGTAAAAGAGGTGCCAAACAACAGTGGGAATGTTAGTGAAACTAACACAGTATTTAATAACTGCCCCTTGCCATTTTAGCAACACAAACATAAGCAAGGCAGAAGAATGAAAAAACTATTCTGGTTCATGTATGCCAGTTCTCCTTCCAGCCACAAAAAAAAATTCTTATATGCTGGAATATAAAGTTAATAGTTAATATTATTATTAATAAAAATATCAACCCAGACGCCAGAAATTCTTAATTTTTTATTGTCACTGCTCTATTCTTGAACAATTTGCACTTACTCTTCCTCTTGCAGAGCACAGTAACTGACCCATCATTTTGCTCAAGTATCGGAAGACTCTGTAGTCTGGACCTGATGTCTATTCAGGGCACAGACATTTAGTAGAGATAAGCCTGGCTGATGGCTGATGCTAGCAGCAGACTTTTACTGAAATTTCCCTGGAGTTTTGCACCTGCTTTTGTTTTTCTTCTGTGTTTGGAAAGACACTACTTACGTCAGAGGAGGTCTATTTTATTCATTCCTCTGGCAGCTACTAAATCCAGTCCCTGAAAAATTGTTCATTCAAAGTGAGGCATTTAAGAGCTTTAGATCAACTTGGCTTCTCCCTGAATAAAATCACATATTTCAGGTTTTTAGGCTTTGAGCTGCCTGAAATTCATTCTGTGTCTTCTACTAGTATCCTGGTCAGTGCTGCCTATTCTTTGTGATTTTTGTTCTCAGTTAGGCAGTGATTCCCATATCACAAACACTGTAACTACCCATAAGACACCAATTTCCCCCAAAATTTGACAGCCCTGAAATTGAACATGTGATCTGAAAGTCATGTGGGTTTTTTTTGTTGTTTTGCATTTTGCAAGTGAATGAAAGCTTCTAGCAGTCAAATGACTTCTCTAGTGACACTGGTGCAACACTGATGCCATTGGTATGCTTCGACAAGTGTCACTGATAGGTCTTAACACTGGCATTTTGCAAACACTTTTGCTTCCATAAAAGTAAAAGACAGAGAAATGCAGACAAAATTACGTTCTCTGCTATCTTTAGAGTTCTGTTTGTACTACAGGAACGAAACACAGTATCATTTTATTTATCAGTGTTATAAGAACTAATTTTGATTATGTTAAAGACATACAAATGCAGAAAAGGAAGTGTTAAACACATCTTTAAGAGACAACTGCAATTCTGACCCGAGAGAGAATTAGGCATTTGACTATTTTAGGGATGTAGCTGAAACTCCAGTGAATTAAAAGGAACTTTTACATTGTTTTCCTTTAGCTTTGAGCTGGAGCTTTATTACAAATGTAGACAGATGTTATACTTTGTCAGGACTCTCTGTCTCTCCCTTTTTGTGACAAAGAACTAATTTGAAGGCACTAGTCTTTAAGACTTGAACTAAGAAACTGATTATTTCCAAGATGAATCCAGAAGGAAAATTTCTCATCTTGTGATTAAGATATAATAAAATACTCACTGATGGATCCTTTGTTGGCTGAATGGAGCAGTATAGCAGTCGTTCTCCTCCAGATCTGGCAGTGTCTCCTTGTCCAGTTTCATTGGCTTTCTAGGTAACCATCCTCGAAACCTGCTTATCTGTTTCTCGATCCTGCAGCACATGAAAAGTGTAAGCATTTGAGATATAGTTTTTTTTCATTACATTACAGAGCACTTACAAAGAACACATGTTGGCAAACTAGGCCACTTAATATTTGCAGCTGGAAAAGATGCAACACCTTCGACTTTTTTGAGGCAAACCAAGTTATACATGCTGAACTTGGTTATTAATAACCAGCTTTCAGCAGAGGAGCATTTTGTCTCAAAAGAGAAGCAATGCTGATGGTATGTGCTGCTATAATCTTGTTAAGTGCAGTAAGTTTTTGTCAACTCTTTAAACCTTTATTTCTCAGCTTTTCAGTTAGTTTAAATTTCAGGCTTAATTGACACATTAGACATTGGTCGTATAAACATTAGAACAGCAGAGACTGTGACAGAGAGTTTTGGCAGCTAAACCCCAGCAAGTTATATCACTTTACTGCTTTTCATATGGATTCTTACCTCGCAATTCATGCTATAAAAAATAGGTTACTTTTTGTTCATTTGGTCCAATTGTAGTGTCATGCAATACTACAACCACTATGAAATCAGAATACTCAGTGTATGGATTAATAAGCGACTGCTACACGGATTCTTACATTTCAAAGGTGAAAGTAAACTAAGGTAAAGCTGGAGAAAGGGCAGATTTAACTGTAAGTGCACTCAAGCAAAGATGCATACTGAAATGAAGGGAAGGGGAAGAATCAGAGCTGACTGGAGAAGGTGATCTAAACTAAATTGGAATCCAAACTAAAATGTTGTAATGAAAAACACATGAGAAAGATGAGATATGGGCACATATATGGGTATAGGGCACAATGAGCCCTACTCACTCAGAAGTTCCTAACACCTTCAAGTCCTGATCAGTGATCCCTTCTTGCAAAAATGATAGACTACATTATGGACCATGTACATACTTCAGTCACTGGATGAATCTTTCCAGGAGAGGAGCTGAGGAGCATGAATTGACAACCTTTGAATTTTAAGTCCAGTTCTGGATGAAGCTCAAGGACTGGAAATGTAGCTGTTTCTTCTCTTTTGACAGAAGTCAGCACAATTACTCCATGAGCAGCAAATGTGGTGAGCTCTGCACAGTCACTTTGAGGTGGGGAAATCCACACCCAAGCAGCTAAGTGTGGGGGAAAGGGATGTGCAAATTACATAATTCCTTGTAAAATACATCTTGGAATATTCAACCTTCTCCCATCAGGTATTTTTATCTTGGATAAGAAAGCTCATGTTGATTTTTAAACATGGGCACATTTCAAAATTTTAACCAAATTAGCTCTATTTGTTTTGGTACCATTCGTGCGTTCCCATTCTGGGAATAGCAAGGCAGGGGACCAAATTTACCATTAACACTGTTTGGAAAAACTGGAATGTATATGCAAACATAGCATAAGACTTACACTAAATTAACCATAAACTCTTCATGGGCAGTGTTTGCACTGGCCCAGCAGTTCAGAGTGCAAAAGGAGGTAGATTGCAAGCATCTGTACCCGAGTGCAGGTGAGATGTCAGATCCCAGGGCTGTAAAGGGCCTGACCAACTCTAACTCTCCAGTTGCAGCATCCAGCCTGACAGCCTTGAGCTAGTCTGTGCAGGCACTGATAGGAATGACAAGGGAAAAGTAAGTTCTTTACAGGGCAATTCCCTGTCTCTTGGCCTCCAGTGTTTCTTCTGTAAAGGCCACAAGCTCTGCATTACTTAGTGACTCTGGGAATGGAAAAGAGAAGACGAATCAGGCAGAAGAGTTTTCTAAATAACCTGTTTCACACTTATTTGTTAACTAAAATCGTTTGAATTCTCTAAGCTATTAACACGCTTGCTAATCTGCAATCCTTGTCCATTCATCCTGCAAGTCAATGTGCACATTTGAGATATTTGTGCTGCAGGTTTATCACACCACACATGCACAAACACAGGCACAGAGTGCTTTCCCCGCTTAAGAGCAATGCATTATTCATGTTGGCTTCTCACTGAGTGTACCCAGAATTTGACTGGTTTGCCATTCCCAAGGCTCAGATTACTTGGCATACTTAGTGAGCCTGCTGGCAAACAGGTCTCAGAGGGTTGCAAAACCTTTCTGCAAGGCCCAGAACATAGAGTACAGCCATCCCTAGGGAAAAAAAAAACAACACCTAGTTATCTCCTTGGAAAAGAAAATTGCCTCCAGCTCACTCCAACATTGCCATCAGCCAGCAGTGCAGGCTTCGTACTCTACAGGAGCATCTCTCAAAAAAAAAGCTGAAAGAGTGGTGTTGGTGCTAACAAACACAGACACGCAGTGTTACAATTCTACTGTGTGTTATCACTTCTTCAAGACTAATCCATGCCTTACCTTCCCTTATGGAGAAGCTTATATACTCAGCTGAATAGGGGAATGGTGTTTAGAAAGCAGAGAACCTACACAAGAACAATAGAGTGCACGGAGTGGTGAGGCGCTGTAGAGTTGGCCACAACGAAAGAGGAAAGTGAAAGGTCTGATAATAATATCCTTCTTAAATTCCTTCTCTAAAAACGCTTGTTAGCCTCATAAGGCAAAAATTCATTCTCTTAATTCATGCAGTGTCTCAAAGAGTCTTCTACTTCAATCCTGCCCCCACTCTCCAAGACTGGTTTTTACTCTGTATCCTCTTTCTGAATATGCATATTGTGCCTAACTCACACAAAGGTGTCTCAAATAATTTCAAAGAAACTGTTTTCTCACTAGGAAGTGGGGTAGGGATAGAATCATTTTTTCAAAGGAAAGAGGAAGTTAGGAAAAAAGATAATTTTCGAATCAAAACTTATTTTTATCTGTGGGTCAGCTTTGAGAGAGCTTTCTGCATATTGAAGTGCTAGATATTGGCTTAGATCAGTTTTTAAGCACAATGCAGGTACTGTATAGGCACCTGATACCCCTCCTTTCCTCTAAAATATATTAGGGGGGTTTTGTTACTTGAAATTTTGAGATCACTAGAATTTTTCAGAGGGAAAATTCGAGTCAGGTTGAGAAGTTGCAGGTGACCTGCTCTGGGCTTTGACTTGTAACAAAAGTCCTCTTTAAAACAAATTTTGCCTGAATGTTAATATAATGTTTGGCTTAGCTCAAAAAATGGACCAGGGTTTCAGTTACGTGTAATCTTCATGGAACTAGAAGTGGAGGAAATAGACACTTTTATTTAAACTGTATATCTGAGTTTCACATAAATGAAAATAAAGCTGAATATGTTTTCTTTTTTTTCCCACTGGGACTATTCAGTTATGGCTTCTCTGCCTCAAGTAGATATTTATAGACCTGAACATAAAAATTGAATTCAGCCAAGTGTTCTCATCACTCAGGAACTAAAATACCAGAAAAAGATCGTACCTCTTCCCATACTGACTTCAAATCACATCCTGACTCGTAAGAAAATGAATCTAAAGCAAAATTTCACATGCCATATATGAATGTCAGAATCTTCACCATCTCCTATCTATTGCCTTAGCCACATCTTAATTAAAACCCTGAGAAATTCCAAAGTTAACAGCCGCTGTAGTATTTATTGTAAGGTGGGGATGGAAAGTCGGGGAACATCAACAAGTTTTAGAAGAATCATGTGCATCTATTAGCTTGTGCTGACTGAGTAAAATGTCTTAACTTCACAAAGTGCCCATTTGGTGCTTACTAATATAAAGAAGCAAATGTTACAATGTGAGATAATGCTGCTACTCTCAAGTCACCAGCAGACTGTGGTGGAATTTAATATAAAAAATGCTTTTTAATATGCTCATACAGTGGAATGATAATATGTGACTTATTTTCCTATGGATGTTCATCTACGGACATTATCTTCAGTGATAGAGCTGTTTACTCCAAAATGCAAATTTTTCAGATTTAATTGTTCTCTCTCAGAGATTCATGGGAATATTTTCACCGACCTCATAGTGACACAGTAAATCAAATCCTAGACCTTTTGAAAACTGCATAAACAGTGCTGTGTCATTAAATGCCAATATATGATCTAGTCTTTGCCAAGCTTGTAATTTTTTAGGATTGTTGGAGAGATTTTAATTTAATTGTACAATATATCAAAAAGAAAATGCAAACTGCAGCACTGGAAGATTTCATTTCATTAAGTCAGACATAAACCGGGCATCAAGCATAACCTTAAAGATATTTAATAATTGAGTGAAAACACTTCAAAGATTTTTGAAAAATACTCATCTCTCAAGCTCAATAATGTTACTCTAGAGATGAACTTGGTTCATTGCCTTCCTATCTACAAACAAAGTACTAAGCATCCCCACAGAGGAAGCAATTAATAAATAATGCCATCGCTACTACAAGTAAGCAAAGTGCATGGAAATGAAAAAAAAAGCTATAACTGTGGCATTTTAACCCAAAGAAACTCCCTAATGAGATACATGAAAAGACATACAATGTTTGCACTAACATACTTATTCTTCTTTAAAAGACTCCATCAATTGAAAAATATTTCCTTATTCCTAAAAAAGGCAACACTGATAAAATGAGTTGCTTCTTTCACATTGTAAATGCCTTAAAAATGCAACTTCTTTGTTTTTGCAGATGTCCTAGTGTGTAATCACTCCCTCCACCCTTCCTACAAACATAACTAATAAACTTTTCTTTCCAGCTTGACATTAGTCATCATTTTTGTTATTGGGTCCAAACGAACATGAACTGGGCTGGCATAAGAATGGTACTCACCTATTCATGAACTTGTATCGGCGGTGCAGGTAATAGATTTTTCTCCTGGAAGAACAGCAAAAAGGAAGCCAGTCGAGAAGAAAACCCATCGTCAGTTACAGTATGAACTAGCAAGGAAGGAAAGGAGATTGAAGACAGAAGCCTGTAAGAGGTGGAGGAAGAAACTAAAAGAGAGATTAACAGAACTGTCACAGGACGCCACACAGACTCTGGTGGCATTTGAATTGCAAGAAGTTCATAATTTTCCCATTGTCTTCTCCTTTTCTGTTATTTGTCATGTGTGAAAGACGGAGACCCAAAGATGTTGCTATTTCAAAGAAGTCCATAAACTGTTGCAGGAGTTCTATAGGACTGATACAAATATGGATAAATTATCTCACATCCACTAGGTAATTATTAAAGATATATTTGGTGAAACACAAGGGCGAATCACTTAGAAAAGCCAGGAAAGTGGTACCCGATGCTGCAATATACCGTAACACATGCAGTACCAGCTGGGACCGGTGCTTGCTGTTGGGGTAACATCCCTTGAAACAGAATATAGGCTACACAAGCAAATGAGCATGTGCTTGGCAACCCCGCTCCCCAAAATGCAGCCACTCCCTCTGACCCTTGTACAGGCGCAGCTGATCTCTGTGGTCAGTGCAATAAGCTGTGTGGGAGTGCGTGTGGGGAACAAGTGAGCAGACAAGAGTGCGTGAGCAGACACATGCTGACCGTAGTCTCGGCTTGCTCTCTGACCAGCCCTGTGCGGCAGAGCGGCCCCCTAACCATCCTGTGTGGATCCAGAACGGGGAGTCCACATCCCGTCCCACTTTGCTGCTGGCAGCTCTTGTCCTCCTTGTACGCGCCTATAACACCACAGCTGTCAGGATTTGACCCATCGCCTTCAACAGAGTGATCACATCTTCATGATAAGCAAGAAAATCTGAGGGCTTTTAGGTGTGGGTTTGGGACCGATACTCCTTACTGGAAGATTTGAATGCCTGCCTGAATTCTGGTTGGCTCCTCCAAAGGCTGACTTTGTCAACTGCTAAAGGTCATTGCTAAATCAAGGTGGCTTCTTCTGTGTATTCTGAGAGTTCCATCATGTAATGCTGAACTGTACTACTTCTGGAAAATGAAGGGCTCACACATCACATGTTCTGAATGTTCATGTATATTAAATGTATCGTAGGAATTATGTTAGTGCCTTGGAAGCAAGCATGGTTGGGACCTTTCTAAAATAAGACAGCACTGATGTTTTAAAAATTATAGAAGAGAACCTGGTTAGTATTCCAGGTTAATTTTCAGAACTTAGAATTTATATAATGCATAATATTTTGACATTATTTTTGTTATCAGTGTCCATATTGTGCTGGTGAAGTGAAATTTTCAAAACAATTTCATGTTGGCCAGCCTCCTTTGGCCAACTCCTCCACAAGATAGTGTTATTTATCTTGCTCTACTCATCAGGATCAGAGAAGGGTCAAAGCTAAGTGTTTCTGAAGATGCCATCACCTTCTTGATTTTGCTATAAATATTCAGAGGCATCCACTATTTTGGCACCCCTGCTCTGAAAAAGCAAGTTTTTTATTAACAGATGTGCGGACCTTGGACAATTCCAAGCTAAAATATTAGGAGCTGTAAGCGATCAGCAGCCCTTAGAACAAGAGGTTAGACAAGGGCACCTGGAAACAGGCAGTCTAGACTAGTGGACATTTTGTAAAATGCTAGTCCTTGTTTTTAAATGCTAAACAGTACTGTTGCTTTTAAAATAAAATTTAAGAGCCTGCCTAGCAGACATGAGTAAATCACCATGATTTTCTCTTAACAATACTGTAATAATCCTTTCTCTGAGGATGTGGAAAGAGTAAAGCTGTGGTCCTCAAGGAGGTCGAGAAACTTTTAGTATTTTTGATGCTTTCTATATAATCTGCATGGAATCTACTTTGCTATCTGGTGAGAGATAGATTTCAAAAAAAGGGACTTCAGATCAGGAAAGAACATACTGCTCACAGTGACTAAAATCTGAGTTCCTGGTGTATTTCTTAATCATGAGACCTTACCCTCTTACTGGGGCAGGTTCAGCTCAAGGAATGCCACAGAAGCCAAAGGAGGTATGCTTTTGGCCCAGCCTATTGTTTCTATGGCTAGAACAATTTTTTTTAAGAGAACATGAATATCTTGCAATGTGATAGCTTTTATATTTTTTTTGTTATCACTAGAAGTACAAGAAAGAACAGTTGAAGATCTGTTGTTAAAATGAAAACCAAAATACATACAGGATAAGCCTCCAATTTTGTCCTCAATTCATATCCATTTTTCCTAGCAAGTTCTGTTATGCTACAGCCTGTCTCATACCAGAGACATTTTTCATCCTTAAGAAAGAAGAAAACAGAAGAAATCCTACAAAGGACACCAACCCATTAGTTGCATATTCTCGGTCTGATCCTTTTCTGGCTCAGGAGTAATTCCATTAAAATCAATGAAGCTATACATCTATAAACCCTGCTTATTGAAAGAAGAATCAGGACCTCTCAGTTCATGGATTTTGGGCAGTTCCAGTGGAAGTCTTTATGCTATTTTAACAGTTCTGATAACCAGCACACTAAAATTAGTATTTTACATAGAAAATCTCATAGTTCGACATGCAAATAGTATTAAATAAATGATAAAAATAATCTGAATGACAATGTGGAATGAATTTCGTTATCAGTAGAATTTAATATAAGTTCTTTATTTTCTCCACAGAAAAAAGCATTTATAGTCTGAATTATTCTCCTGTTGGATGGGGTACTTCTTTATAATCTGTATAATTACACACTATACAAGCAGTTTACAGGTGCTGAACATACCAGATACGTCCAACAGACATGCACCTTCTGTGCTGCCTTACGTACCTGGATCTTCTTGACCTCCCATTGATTTCAATGAAATTTCCATTTAAAAAACAGCAGCGTACAAGTATGCAGGGGGCTCCAGCATTGAAGGGGTTAAAGGGCCTAAGGATAGAATACCCCATGAAAACAGCTGCACTGCTACAGCTCACCTTAATTTCAAACCAATATTGCACTGAAATTGTAGGCATTAACAAGAAACAGCAATGAATATGGTCTCTAAGGTACTCCATTTATATTTTCTAGAGATGTGTGTGGTATCTTACAGAAGACTTTTCCATCTGCATTTTGATGTTATTATTATATTAACTTTACAGTACAGTGTTACTTTGGAGGTTGAGACAAAATGCAACTACACCTACCTGAAAGGCATTCTTACATTCATTAGTTCAGCATATTTGCCCAGGACCTCCCAAGGAGCATGCAACTTCACAAAGATGATGTCACTGTTTGTTAGAGATGACTGCAAAAGAAAAAAAAAACAGCCACCAGGGCTTACTTTTTCAAGTAAAAAAGAAAGAAACTGTGGTCAGTGGTCAGTATCTATTTTTCTGGTCTTGTGTCACCCCTCCCACTTCCTGATTCTTCCTCAAGCACATGTAGTTCTATCAGTTATGTTAACTCATTTTCTTTCTGGTTTCCTGAAAGCCATGCTTTGACTCCCTTATGGCCTTCACGTGTGTTTCCTTCACATGGAAAAGAGAACATGGAAGGGAGGCTGACATGCAGTTGTGGGTTACCCATGTGTGGGGCAGAAATAAAGCTGGTGGGTAAATCTGGGTCTGGAAGCTTGGTCCTGAGCTTCAGCTAAAAGCAAAATGGCAAGTCAGGGTTGGATTCTGCCAATTGACCTGGTTTTCTGCGCTCACACAGAAGTGAAGATGTATGGAGGCACATCTAGCAATCAAGAAAAGTTTGTACGACAATGTGGTCTTATTGTTGTTGTCCCACATAGACAAATAATGAAGTCCCAGCTACATAGACATGGTCACCAGCTTCCCTTCCTCCAGCTTCCCTCTTGGCCACAAGAATTCTGAATGTTAGAACTAAAGCCAGCAGGAAAAAAGGAAATCTGATGCTGCCCACAGCATAATATTGTGCAGATTTGTTGCTGAGGAAGGTCGAGGGCCATGGCTATGCCAGCAAGATCCCTTCATGGTGCTACTATCTTCTTTTCTATAGGTTTTATGTAGCATGAAGAAAGTGTTATGTAGGGTACGCACACCAGAACAGCTGTTACCTAACAGAAAACTGTCTGGCAAAGAACAGAGAATATACAGTAAACAGGAGAAGGGGAGAAATCTAGCTCTGTTTGCACCCAGGAGGAGAATTAGTGCTTTACAAGAAAGCTGGAGTCGACTGAAGCCATCATGAGAATATAGACAGCCACATGCTAATACTGGAAGATTAATTGTTCAAATTCTTATGAAAATCAATTGAATTCTTATAAAATTGCATACAATACAGCTTTAGACAACTGAATGGATCATGTTAACAGGGACAACTACTACGGGCTGAGTTCAAGGACCACCAGGAAATGGGTAAAGGTGTACAGGGTATGAGAAAAGGAAAGCATGAAGACTGAGAAAACCAGGCAAGAAAATTGTTAGATGGCTTTAAGGATGATTTTGTATTTTTTTAGAGATTGTACTATATTCAATGTTTGTCACATTAATTCTTGGTTAACACAACCTACTATTATTGTTTATTTGGAAGCTACAGGGATTATATGGGTGGGAGACTGACATTTATACTTTTGATGCCTACTGGACTCTTCACTATCCTGATAGATACTGAAATTATTGAAACTGATATAACATATTCCTGTCCTTAGAGCAGCTGAAACGTTGTTCTTAGTTTGTGATGTGAACAGAATGAAAGCTCCAACAGTTAAGATACATATGTATGATTTTCTTTAGCACATTAAAAAAAAAAAATCCCAACCCAATCACTACAGAGTTAACATCTTTTTAAACAAACAGAATATCAGAATCCTCAAAACTGGATGGAGAGAAGTATTTGTACCCAAAGTACTACTGGGCTGCATGAAAAAAATGGTTTTAGTGTGGAATAGGTGACACTGTGGCATTAAAAAGTGCAAAAAAACCCTTGCTGTTCTTTTGCTAGTGACTTTCTGAAAAATATTTCAACATGAAATGATACAACAGCAACAACATGCTCCCAAGAGACTTGCTTCAGAGACAAGGAATTCAGTTGTACTCTTTCTATTGACTTTTATAGATTCTAAATCAGGCCTCTAATGATGTTTTTCTTTATAGGTACATTTTGCAAATTACCTTTATTTTCCCGTGAGACTGTAGCAAGAACATACCACAAAACCAAGACTTAGTTCTCCTACTCTTATAATTTCCAGCAAACCACTCTCTTAAAGATGAGGTTAAGTTGGCAGTGGATTGGCAAGTTTGTCATAAACAGCTTGGATTAAAAAAAAAACAAAAACAAAACCCATCAAAACTCAAAAGAAACACCTAATAAGCCCAATATACAGAAGGAAACTATGGTCCCATCACATCAATAAAATTTTAGAAATGGAGGAAATTTTATAAAAACAGCCTGTAAATGTAGTGATGGCTGTTAAACAGGAAACTTACAGGCATTTTCCAGCACGTTGTGGTTTAGGCCATACTAGGTATGGCAGTCACAGTAACATGATTTGTGGAGATGCTGTTTCACCAGTGAACACTATCTTAATCTAAATTCGATTTCTTATGTGTTACATGTTTTCACACAGAAACATGAAAAACTTCCATATGGTTATCACAAATATAAATACAGATGTTTAAAGAATACTTTTCACTCAATATCCTGTAGACTTATTTTATCAGCTTTGCCAACAGAAGATCTAACCAAAATGCATTTGGGAGGTTCAGTTATTTTCAAAAGAAAGAGACAATAATGCTAAATTATTAATATGGAAATCCATTTCTCTTGGGTTTGCTTATGTTAAGTGTTTGTAAAGGAAAACACTAAGCCTGAGAAAAGCAAGACTGGAAAGAGAAGAACAAATCCAGAAGGAGGAGTAATTGAATGAAATGTCGCATTCACTTAATCTAAGGAGAAAATAGTCAATCAAAATACCTGGAAAATATAAAAAGTTACAAAAATACTTTAGTGAATGGATTCTGCTAAACTCTTTTTGTTAGATTAGTATTTAGACAGAGTATCCTTCAGCTTCTAAATGTTTCATTGAGAGGAGAGGAATAGTCTTCTGTTGTAATTGACTTTTGAGGCTTGGCATTAAATGGTTTGGAGAAGTAAACTCGGTTTCACATTATGGGAACATGCACACAAAAATCAATGTAACATTCCTCCCCTTGACAATTTAAATAAGACTACTATTGACATGAGCAATCTGCTAGAAAGTGATGTCTAGATGATGAAGAAAGAAAAATAGAGGAATCAAGGGGACAGTCAATGAGTTAAAACATTTTGTAAACACAAAAATGGAATAAGTGTTTGGAATTGACCTGTGGTATCAGTGCCTATAGGGTTATCACCATATGATAATTACCAGGCCACCAACATTCAAAAAAATTGATCGTTTCAGACTGATTTCTTGAGGAGGAATATCCATACCAAAACAGATTTTCTTCTGATCAGTAATAACATTCTTGCTGGTCTTCAGAGCAACGCAAATGCAGTATGACAAGAGACTTATCAGAATCAGAGAATCAAAGACTAATTTAGGTTGGAAGGGACCTCTAGGGGTCATCTGGGCTAACTCTCTAGCTAAAGCAGGGCAAACTTAGATTAGGCCGCTCAGGGGCTTGTCCCACTGAATCCTGAATATCTCCATAGGCAGAGATTTCACAGCCTCTGGGCAAACCAGTTACTGAAATTGGCTGGAGAAAAGAATATTTCCTATGGAAGAGCAGTACTCATCTCCAGAGAAATGTGGTTGAAAACTGTAAAATCATGACAATTCAAAATGTTCAGTGCAAAGACAGCATTCTTTATAAAACAACTAATTTCTTACAAGAACTTTTTAAAAATTATTATTCTGATTGAGAAGCGCTAGCAATATGTATTTAGTTTAACAAAACCCTGAACTTCAAAACAGGTTTGTACGGTAGAGTTCAGATCATTAGAGTCTGGGTTACAGATAGTCAATATACAATGAGCTTCAGTGTTCAGTGCCATTAATCTGCTATTTTTCACAAGCTGTAATTTCCCCCTCCTTCTTTCCACTCCCCAATCCCCTTTTAAAGCTGGAATACATATTCCATAATTCCTGAAAATATTAAAACAGTATTTAACAATCACAAGTTTCTATAGCCCATCTGTATCAGAGAATTCATTAATTCCCAACCTTCCTGGCTTCACTGACAAATAACTTTAGTACCATATCATTGCTGTCAACCCTAGAATACAAGCAGTACCATAGACCCATGTATTATAGACTCCCTCTTTTGGAAAAACTACCTTTCTCTTTTACCATTAAGTTTTTACAGACATTGTATTTCCCAAAGAAAACAAATCAACCACAAGCGTGTTTAAAAAACAAAGCTCCCTATTCTTCTCCAGTATCACTATATAAGGAGTGGAACAGTCTGAATTATGGGTCATTTATGTAACTCCAAAAGCATAAACACCTTCTTTGGTGAGTTACAGTCATTGGCTAGGCCAAGGAAAACTTGTAAAGGGCAGGTTCTCATTTTCCTTCTGAAAGAGGGCACAGAGTGGGGTTAACTGCTGTTTAATTTAAGTTCTGTCTACCAAGTTCACATATACTCCTGCAAGCGTTCTTACTCCTTTTGATGACAGAGTTTCAATATATATATAGTCACCTGACTCTGCTCCTTCCAAAGTTATCATTGTTAGTCTGAATGGAAGCAAAGTTATGCTGACATTGGACATCTCTTGAAAAACCCACATTTTTTCTATATTTGCAGGCTGCCTTCCAGGATCAAGGCTGGAGATAGTGTCTTTTGTCAAATACCCTCCTGAACATTTTCCTCCAACAGAGACTTTTTTTTTGGTTCATTATCAATAATATTGTCATTTTATGACAAAAACAACTGTAGAATTCACTTTAATACAAGCATTCCTTGAGTCTAAAAGTTAAGAAAAGAAATTCACAGCATATAACCTTGAAGAAGGATAAAATTACAATGTCTCAAATTGAATAGTGTAATTGTTTATTTGTCTTGAGGATACTAGGCAGGCAACTGCAAAAAAACCAATGCTCTCATTTATGTATGCATACCAATAGGGAAAAGAAATCAGGATTTTCGATTAAGGTGTTTTCCCTATCATCTTTTAAGAGAAAATTACTCAAGACTGGGGCTCTCCTTGCCTTTTAAAGCCTTCCTCATAAAAGTAAAAGGAGGTAAATTATATTTCAAAACAGATCCAGCAACCAGAATTAAACCTTGACTACTTTAGCAAGACCCTGCAAGGCAAGTTTAAAAAGCAAGAATGGGAACAGTGCTTTAATTTCTG